AAATATCTTCACCTACATTATAATTATTTAAACAGGTTTGCCTTCATGCAGCAATACGAAAAGTGTTACGTCAGAGAAACCACTGCACTTTAATTTAAGAAATCGTATTTTCAATGGGAAATTAATGTAGTTCTGTTCAGTAGTAGATCCATGGTTGTCAATGACAATCCAGTGTCTAGTATCTTGGCTCAAAACAGACCCAGCAACATGATTATAGAATTTTTGAATTTCATTCTTTTGCTCTCCTAGTTCAAGATATTTTCTTTTTAAGTTCTCAGTAGATTTATCAGGATATCATAATACCTTATAAGACACCCAGAATCAATCCTACCAAAAAAAAACTCAAAAAATTACATACCTACTTGTTATATATTTCCAGTCGACTTAAGTCGTAGGGGTAAGCTAACTTTTTCTAACTTAACAACTTAACAACACATTGACAATGTAAGGAATGCCGTTTGATATTTATTTCTAATATAGCTAAAGCATTACTTGACAAAACATACGTTATTTTACCTTAGATTTTCCTCATTTAAATGTGTGTGTCTATTTCATAAAAAGCTGAAGCATTATTTTCAATATTTTATGCTTACGGTATCGTGGTTGTTTTCGCTGGTTGTCATTAATGTAAGCAGTAATAGAATTCCTGAGAGAGCGAATGTTAAAAATTTTTCTCAAATTGGAAGTTTTGACAACCCAAATCCGCCATTACCGCCATGTTTTTGACCACGGGGTCCAGGCCCCTCCAGGTCTTATAGAACTCAATGGTATTACTATGTGTGACTTTGTATTTATCTGCTTGTAATTAGAAGCTTCTGGCTTTTCATATTCTTCCAGAGAAGATTTTAGTATTACAGTTATTTTCAAGTCTATAATACTGTGAAATGGTTGGTCATAATCGATGATGTAAACAATGTCATATTTTGATTTGTGGCGTCAGTCAGGCAATAATTTACTCATCAACTGAATTTCGTGGACCAGATGGCATTCATTGAATAAGCTAAGCTGCTTTTTGTCAGTACAAAGTGTTTGAAGATAATAATTGACAGTGTTATAATCAGTTACAATCATGGAAATTCTTTGTTATATATGTTGAAAGTATATTTAATTCAGAAGGTTGTTTTCTGAAATTTCAAGGTTTGTAGTTAACTGTTCTACCATCTTCACTGATCTTTATAGTTATCAGGTTCTGATGCTCGATGAAGCTAGTTTCAAGCCAAGTACCTCACAGGTCTCGAATACAAGGGTGGCCGAGGATTAATAATAACTAGTCAGATGGAACAAATATTTATAAATGCCTGTTTTAAAATTGTAGCGAGAGACTTGCCGAGCGGAAATCGAATTCGTGTGATAAAAATTAATGCCCAACATAAAGTTCTGATTAGAGCCATAGAAATAGACCAAAAAAAAACGAATTGTAAATTGAAATTTATTGTGACGTTTCGTCTTTACTCAAGACATCTTCAGACAAATAATAAATAGGATGTTAAGACAAGATATCATATTTACAAAAGTAGTAATTTAACACCTTTTTGTAAATATAATATCTTGTCTTAACATCCTATTTATTATTTGTCTGAAGACGAAACGTCACAATAAATTTAACTTTACAATTCGTTTTTTTTTGGTCTATTTCTATGGCTCTAATCAGAACTTTATGTTGGGCATTAATTTTTATCACATAAATGCCTGTTTTACTGTTTTAGTTTCGATTGAAATCAATTGCCATTAGAGATTACATAACAAAAATACATGAATTTTGGCATCCCAGTTATCAATCCTCCATTGCCCTTACTGGAATCACAGTTTATACTTTATCAAGCGTGTAGTGTGACTCTATCATTCAGCTCTTCCTGTGTGACTTGTCTACAAAGATAGTAAATTATTAAAGTTGTCGTGCATTTCAAAACTCATATAAATAGTCATGAATATTTATAGCCCTGAGACAAAGTGTTGTGCTTTTGGAGATTGTACCTAGTACTATGACAAATACTACTTACATGAAGACAGTGTATTTTAGAATTGAGATGAAATTATATTTTGTGAAACTATATTTAATATATTATTGTGTTTTATAGTCAAGTGTCTACTTAACTGTTCTTCTCCTAGCTTCTCAGACCAATATCAAGACCAGGCTCTTATGGGTAATGCTAGTTTGAGGACAATTCTCTTAGGTCTGCCATCACAGTTTATAAAGGCTTAAGCATAGACTCGAAACGACTATTTCGCTCTTGCTGAGTAACAAGTCTACCAAAATTGTCAATTTTTCAGGGGGTCAATCATTCCAAAATTATTGTTTAGATTTTCATGAGTAAATTTACAACTGTCTGGTACGAAATGGAGTGCTTGAGAAGATTGCAACTGGTATTTGGTGCAGTAACTTAAAACACTTACAACAATCATAATTGTTCAGAAATACACTGATGAGAATTACACTGATTATTTTTAAATATTGTAGCACATGGTTGTTTGCTAACTTTTAATTTTCAACACCAACAAAGCTGTACCATTGATGAATGTAGCTACTAATGTTATTAATTCTGATGGAAACATACTTGTACTTTAGAATTCTCATCACTAGTTTTCATCTAAACCTTTATTAGATGAAAATATGACTTTTTCTCTAAAACTTTATTGCCTAAGTTGAAAGTGTCGAGCGGTTCTCGTAATTCTCGATCAGCCATTTTTTCCCATTTCATGAAAGCTTAACAAAGCAGTTGCTCTAAGTCTCAGATGACAGGGTTTTCCTCATTATTTATATCAGGTGGCCGTCCAACCCCGGAATTCGTACAGGATTGTTTCATTTGCTATGATCAAACGATCAAAGAAACGTACGTATTCTCAACTAATTATTTAAGATCAATGGTGTTTGTCCATACTAGTGCTTCGCTTTTATCACTCAGAGGTTGTTATGAGCTAACGATTGGCAACTTCTCAAATTTTCTAAATATGTATATCGACACCAGAAAAAGTTTGTTTTATTTCTTGTTTCTGTAAAAGCTAATAGCGCAAATTGTAAACAAATTTTGACTATTTCGTCCCGAAATTAGTGAGCAACCATTTTGATTTTTGCTTAACATGGATCCTGGTAGTTCAGTGTTGAACTAAATATTAACCAGGATTTTAACCAAAATCTGAGTTAACATATTTGGGGTTGAAATTCATTCAGAAGATAATTCAAAGTTCAAATATAAATTCACTATTCGCTGAATTTATGCTAATATTTATAATAAAATTAAAAGTCCAAGCTGTAGATCTTTAGTATGCACTGCGCAAAATGAAATCTGCTTCATTAAAATTTATACAACAGTCAATAGACATAAACCATATCTCATAGTCCACATAAATGAATATTAATGGTTTGGATACCTTAAGGCCATGCATACATTTCCTTTGTCCTCGTGTTGCTTATGCACGATTTTGGGGATGTAAATTTCTGCTGAGAACTCTCTGCTCAATGGTGTTTACCCTTTCAAAAGCAATGATAAGAATTTCAATTTATTCAGAGATTTATCATTCTCTTGCGAAATTGCAGTCTGAACAGCAGTATACATATCAATACTAAACATTGTAGTTTGTAAACGATTTTCCAAATAAATGCAGTGAAACAGATTTTATAAACCACGCTAAGTGAATCACAATGTGATGATCTACCACGCTTGACTATGTTAGCTCAGAAAGCTATCAGTCTAAATCAGTCAAACAATCACAATAAAACAAAAATTCAAATGAACCAATTGTAAGATAGCAATTGGACTCCCTTATAGGTCCGGCCACACCTCTTATCGGTCGAGACGATTCCAGACTGTCCACTGATCTGGCCATTGACCAATAAAATAAGCGTTTTTGGCGTTCATAGACTACTTTATCAGTCGAACCAGTCAAGCCACCCCGCTTATCAGTCGGTTATTCCAGATCAATAAAAATTCAACTGATCTGATTGCCAACGAGATATTCATTGGATTAGTCATTAGTTTTCAATATACTCTAGATCCGCCCCTGGTGATAACCTTACCTAGATATAACCAATATAGCACAAGTCTGGCCTAGTACCTGTCATGATGTATATCAGGCTGCCTATGATCTGCATGTATACATCCTTTAACTCCTCCTGATTTAAGGGATGTAACTTTCTCTGAGCCTAGAATCGATGGAGTTGATTTTTATTTGCAATTTATCATGCCAAATCTGTTCAATAATTTTTCAATATGCAGTGATTGGTTCATTTCAATAGACCCTTTAGTGCCTTTAAATTCTGTACCTAAAAACCACGAAAGTATGCCGAGGTCTTTCATTTTAAATTTTTCGTTCAATCGATTTTTCACATTACTCAGTAAATTACTATCGCTAGACGAAATAATCAAGTCATCTACCCAAATCACAATAATTACACATATATTCCTACGATTGTGAACATACAAACACGGGTAGGCTTGGGATTGTAAATAATTTTCCAGTACTAGGTAGTTGTGGAGTAAATTGTTCAAATTTCGTCCACTCTGCTTCTGACCGTATAAAAACTTTTTCATTTTATAAACAAGCTTCTCACCATTTCCCCTCTCCCCCTCCTTTCTCATAACCTTTTGGTTGTTCTACAAATATATTGCAGTCGATGGGCGCGTTTTAATAAGCATATTTCACGTTTATCTGGTGGACAATCATGTCATTCTGTACTGCATGCTGCATTAAGATACATATTGAACTCATTCTGGCGGTGGGAGCAAAAGTTTCGTTATAAACATTCCCATGAACTTGAGAGTATCCTTGAGCTACATACCTACGTATCAGTGTCTCTTTTATCAAATCCTGACTTAAGGGTATACACCCATTTCCCCTCACTATCTTACAGTTCTGAGGGGGAGGAACAAGGAAAAATGTTTCGTTTTCTCGAAGAGCATCTCCCTTATTCAATGCCTTTTTTCATTCTACCGGTTAGGTGAATATATTGCTTGTGCATAGTTGCATGGAATATCTATCTTATAGTATAGTCTGTAAAGTACTTCCCTAATTCGTGATCCGCAACGTTATCGACGACATATTCGTCCAGATAAGATGGTTTGTTTCTCACCCTGGTTGGGTATCTTTCTTCATGAACCATCTCTTCAGTTTCATTATCATTTTCCGAACGAGAGTTTCTTTAGTGTCATGCACCAATAAAGGCATAGAATTTCCCTTTGAAAGTTTGCGTCAAAAAAATTTACGCATCTAACTTTTTCAACTTTCCCATTTTCTGGACAATAAACTAGAAAAGCGGGACTTCTGTCATATCTCACAAAAATTCCTTCCTTACTCAAGTTTCTTGGCGTTTTGCACATGAGAAAAACAAACAGACCAAAATACATGCAGTATACTAAGGTTAGGCCTAGTCATTGCTTCATATGGGAGTCTTACCTAATCTATCATTAAAACATCTGTTTCTTATGCAAACAGATGTCATGACAGCATACGTCCACATCATTTTAGGCAATTTTGCTTCAAGCAATAAACATCTTGCCATGTTAAATAAACTTGACCAAGCCCTTTCCGCCATTCCGTTTTGGTGAGTCGAATAAGGTGCACATGTCTCATTCATTATTTTGTTTTCACGAAGAAGACTCAAAAACTTGACTCGTGAATTCTCCTCCATTATCACTTCTAATACGTTTCACCTTGCCGAATGGGGCTGTATCCGCTAAGAATTGTTTGATCGCTTCAGTAGTGTCGGATTTCTGTTTTAAAAAATATACCGAAAAAACCCAGAAAAATCATCTACACACACTAAAGCATACTGGAATCCTTCTCTTCCTACTGGATGAATCAATTGGACCTGCTAAATCGCAGTGAACTACGTCTAATGCGTTCTTCGCCTTCTTGTCGGGGTTTTATTTCTCAATTGAGTCATCTTGCCTTGTGTGCATATCTTTTATTCCGGTTCGTCATGGTTTATAATTTGCATACCTCCTACAACATTTTTAATTTTACGAACATCACCATAATTAAAGTGACCACGAATTTTGTGCCATTTTGAAAGTGAAGTTGCGTTATTTAAATAGTATAAGGGCCCTTTACGCTCAATTCTAAAAATTCTGCCGCCTGAGGTCGTAAATTCGTTTTTTTATTAGTAAGGCTTCCACCTTGCTCTACTGCAGCGCAGACTGAAAAAATAATCTGCTTGAAGAATGGGACATTAAGAACATTTCTTAAGATTATGTCATGTGCCTTGCCTCTTATATCAAAAAGTTTAACCTTTGCGCTGCCCATACCCGTTACAACGCTAGCTTTACTGCCATCTGCGAGCTCGACTACGTTCGCCCTGGGATCAAAATTACCATCAAAATTTATAAACTTAGATTTATCGGTTATGATATGACTGGTAGCACCAGTGTCAACTATTAGACTAGTATTACTCTTAATGAATAATACTAAAAATAAACGAGATGTACCTGTAAGTTGAAGTTTGATTGGGATTCTACTACTCATTAGTCGGGAAAGAAGGAGTCACGTGAGAAGCGCACGCGTGCTTCACTGATCAGTTTTTGACATGAACATGTGGAGGAGAAGAACGAAGAGTCACAGGAGGTAGGGTGTGAATATTACATATGGGCATGTGACTCGTTTGATCCCGAGGGATGACTAGTACAATCCCAATCAAACTCTAACTTACAGGTAAGCCTCGTTTAGTTTTAGAATTGTACTACGTCGTCAGTCGACGTCACTAGGGGGGGTCTATGATATTTTAAAGTCCTGCAGCTGTTTACTATGTGCGTATGAATCCAACTCAACATTTAGTTGAATTCTAAACCCTTTATGTAAAATTTAACAATCTTTATCATTTACTAAATACTATTCAGGATAACTGAACTGAAATCATCACTAACTATGTGTTTTTCATAAAACTTTGCGAAAATTCACACTGCAAATTAAAACAAGTTGCTGCAAACAAAAAAAATTGCTGCAAATTAAAATAAGTTGCTGCATATTAAAATAAATTGCTGCAAGTTATTTCCACTTGATGTGCCCAGTTTTCACCAAATTGTGCGGAAAAGTAGACGCATCAAGTGTATACATGGAGAAATTAAAAGACAACAAACTGCACAACCTTCGGTTTTTTCACGAGGCCACGTAGTTATGTAATTCACTTACTTATATATAGTTTTTGACTAAATGTTTTCACTAATTGCGGGAAATCTTGCATCACTGATGCAAAGTACTGTCACGGTTGTGGTAAGAATATTAGCCAACCAAATTGCGTGACAGCAAATTTAGTTAGTAAAGAAGTATCTGCATCTGGTGATAATGTTAGTATCACACCTTTCACTTCTTGTACTTTTACAAATGCACGACAACTCACTTTTGCGGAATTCTGTTCTTGTAAAGCCTGGTTTCCACTATTGGTTTAACGCAACAAACGCGACAGCGATTAACTTTAATCGCGATAATCCCATATGGGAACGTGGTAATAATCGCAATAAACGGCGACTAACAATCGCGACAAACGCGATAAAATATCAAAAAATTTTGATATTTATTCGGGTTAATCGCCAAAATGACGTCATCTTGAATGAAAATTTAGGAATTTAAAATGGTGGATTATATATGTGTTCAATCATTTAATCCAGAAAGTATTATATTTGATGAAAATTTGGCCAAGGAAGTGCGTAAGTTTCCATGCTTATATGAGAAAACATGTAAGGATTATAAAGACAAGTTTGTCGTGGCAAATAATTAGGCAAAAGTGGCAGAAAATCTGAATCTATTGGAAGGTAAAACAATGTAAACAAAATATACGTGTGCTTGAGTGGCAGATTTCAAAGGTGTAGAGACTGCAGTCTGCCATAAAATATACAGCTTTCAACTTATCAAAAATTTTTTCAATTTACGTCTACTCTAAAACAAACACTAATAAGATTTAATGTTTTTTCATGTCAAAAAATGTTAATACTGTATAGGATATATTTTTTACTTATAGGTGAGCAAGCCAAAAAATTGTTTGAAAATTTAAAAAAAAGATTCAGCAAGCAAAGAAATGACTTCAAAAAAGTAAATAAATCTGGACCATCTCTTTCAGCTGTTGTTTCCTCTAAAACAAAATTGGAGGACTATAATTTTCTACAGTGTTTAGTACCATACATAAAGGCTAGAGCAACAAAAACTAATTTGTCAGTATCAACTACCAGCAGCAGCTCGAGAAGTAATTGTAGTTTAGTAACCGATGATGAAATTGAGCACGTCAGCTTACTAAATGAAGACAATGACTGTCAACAAATAGAGCCAGATGAACTATTTGATGATAAGATTAATGATATATCTGATACAACTGGACATAAAAAGTGGTCAAAGACAAAAGTTGATGTTGAGCAAGAAGAAATACAGTTTTCTCGTACAATGCAAAAAGCAATTAGGCATCAAAACCAAAAAAACATGTGGAAGAAGATGAAAATGATTTATTTGGAATGCTTGTTGCCTCCTAGTTGAAGAAGTTAAATGCACATGAACAGGCCATTGCTAAGCATCAGATTCAAAATGTTGTTTTCAAATATACAAATGAATCAAAACCAAGCACCGTCTAACCAATTTTTTCATGTTACTCAGGCTCTGCCTTTTCTCGGAAGCTCAATGATGCAAAAACCAACAAGTTAACTAAAGACTGAATTGTTGAAAAATTCCATTGAAGAGCTTTGTTAAAAAAAATGCTCAAACTTTAAAGTATGAATGTTATTTAGAAGCCATGTTGTTTAAACGAAATTTTTGACAAAGTTTTGTTTTCTTAATTATAAATTCTTCCTGTGTTTCTTACATACTTTTTGCTGCCAAGGCACAGAGCCTTCATTGCTATTTAAGTAATGTTTCAATGCCTCTCTCATAGCAATAGCATTACCAGTATAACGAGATCCTCGGACTTTGGCGATACTGATTACACCTGTACCATATCTGATGCTACAACTTTTCTCCATTCTTCTGGCGTGATTTGTCTATTGCTATTTTCTGAATGTACAAATCCAGTTGGGCAATATACTGGATTTTTCGTTTGACGTAAGTAGTTATGCAGACACACTGTTGCCATTACGTATTGAACAACATTGTCTCTGGATGCACGAATGGGCCCCGGAATAATCTCCACTTGGCAGCTAAAATTCCAACGGTGTTTTCGATAACCCTCCTGGCTCAGGACAGCGGATAATTAAAAATTATTTCATCCTCTTTCATTCGCTCTCTACCATCAGGATATGGTCTCATTAACCATTCTTTGATGGGGAAAATTTCACCCCCCCCCAATTAATAAGGCAATGCATTCATTGGGCAGCCATCTAATTTTTCAGTCTCTGGCACAGCAAGAGAGTTGGTTTCAAATCCCTTCCCAATTTCTGAGGCAATCATAACACCACTGTCATTATTGCTGCCCTATTGCCCTACATCTACCAATGAAAAACTGTACTTAGCATCATATACTTAAGAAACCTTTGTAATTATAATATTGGCTTCCCGAGTTGCTAGGGCAATCTATGGCTATATGTTTTCCATCAATTGCTCCTACAACATGAGGCATATCCCATAGATATTTAAAATCTTCACTTATATGTTTCCACTTTGCAGCACATTTTGACGCTCTTAAGTAAATTGGAGATAATGCATCATATATTGCCTGACAAACGTCTCTAATAATCTTGGACACTGTTGCACGCCCAATACGAAATGCATAGCTGAGTGTTTTCTGAGAGCATCCTGTAGCCAAATATCTCAAAGTAATTACTAATCGATCCTCTCCACTGATAACTGTGCGAAAGAATGTGTTCTGCTTCTGAATTCTCATATTTATAAGACTCAATAAATGGTGAAATCTCTCTCTGGACATTCTTAAGTATCTATATAGCAATAAAAATAGTATGAAGCACAGCTCCAAATTTTGTTGAGTTGCACAAAATGCTTCGCACTTCAATAAAAACAACCACAACCGTTTTGATTTTTCTCTCATTAAACTAGAGGTGTTCTTACAGCAATAAACTCTGTGCTTAATTCAGATAAGAAACTGAAAGTGTTGAAGGTATGAATACAAGAATGAAGTAATATAAACGTACCTGTAGTGGTACTCTCTGTCATTCATTCTTAGCTCCTGGTATAAACGATTGAACTTGCTATTCGTTTTGTCTTTGAAAAATTCCCTAATCCAAAAACGTTGTCTTCTTTTCATTGATGCCTTTCTACGGCGTCTCCTATGCCTCCATAAAATATAAAGTGCTGCAATTATTATAACATAAACATAATGTAAACATAGTGTAAACAAAACATCTAATCGCGCAACCATCGCGATTAAAGTTAATCACTATCGCGTTTGTCGTGTTAAACCAATAGTGGAAACCAGGCTTAAGCAGAGCGATCGAAGGCATCATTTTACTAGAAAGAAAAGCGGGAAAATAGTGAAATCACATAAAAAACCTGGGAAGTCAACCGAAGTAAAAATAAACATTGGTATGATGACAAAAAGAGAGTATACGCTTGTTTTTCAAAAGGGTTTAACACTCCCATCAACTGTACCAAAGAATATAAACTATGACGATTTGATAAAGAAAGCAGTAGCAAATATCACCGTTTTAATAAAGACATTAGAGAGCTTTAACAAGAGTACGACTACGACAACGAGTACGAAGTTTGACCGTGTAAGGGAATGGCACGAGGAAGTTTGTTGTCGTTGTCGCTTCGTCAAATTTAGTTTTAGCTGTAAACAACAGAACAAGCTTTTTTATTGTGTAAAACACCGAAGTTTGCGAAGCAGCTACAGCTCCATTTGGCGATAATGACATCAACTAATCGGTAATACTGATTTTGCGAGAACATAGGACTCTTTAGAGTGAAAAATGTTCACTATTTTAAATTTTATGTACGATATATTTATGCTATTTTCTTGTTTGTTTATCGGTCACTTTAAGTAAGAAATACATGAAAGTTTTTAAGGTCATATTTCCTTTTAAATGTACATATGCGCACAAAAAAGGTTCTAAAGTTAAGCCTGGATGCTCGAAAATAGTATTGTAAACTAATTTCTTGCACAATGAAAAAGTATACCTTCTTACTATGCTTAAGAAGACATCGTAGTCTCGACTAAGAATTTTTTACAAAACATCGTACTCAGATTGATGACGGCTACATGTTGTTGTCACAATGATGTTTTCGCACCAAAATGACGTAATTAGTACTCTTAGTCGTACTCGTAGTCTTAGCTAAAGCTCTCTATTATAAAGCACGACGACAAGAAGTTCTATTGCCTTGTTTAGAGGGACAAGAAAAAAGCTACCACCCTGCCTGGTTGTGATGAAGAATTTACTTTGAATAGATATAAAGAGGAAATCGACAATCCGTACTGTCGCATTACATTATATTTATGCTCTTTTACACATTTTATGGATAATGTTTTTAGTAACTCTGAGTCTGATTCAGATTCCGACATTAATATAATGAATCTTGAGATTGAGCAAAAAACACCAAAAGTACTTTGTGGTGATTCACAAGAATCTGCAATAGTCATAGAACCAATAGATGATGTGATGGAGTTAAACATACAGGAACAGCATCCTCTACCATCAACGTCAACATGGACATCAACAGAGGTACACTATTTTAAACAGGTATTTCCAGTAGTTATTGCACAAGCAGAAAATGAGTTTGAATTAAATTTGTAGGTACAAGACACTATGCCATCAGTAGTGGGAGACATTAATGTAATCAACCATAAGAATGAGCCAGGGATATCAGAAGTACTTCCAAGTTATAAACTGGCATCTACAATAGTTATGGCAGAGAAAAATGATATGCTTAAGTTAAACATACAGGAACTACATCTTCTACCATCAACTTCAACAGAGGTACACTATTTTAAAAAGGTATTTCCCATAGTTATTGCTGAAACAGGCAATGAGTTTAAATTAAATTTACAGGTACAACCAACTACTCCATCAACATTGAGAGAGATTTAGTGCCTAATCTGCTTTTTGGTATTTCCCATACAATACATTCAAGAACATGCTGATAACTGTTCCCCTTGGACCATGAAGTCCAAGCAATCAGAAGATTTTGTCTCAAAGAAGAATTTCATCAGGAATGAAAGAATCAGCAAAATATGAACCAGGAATAACTATTTCTTCACAAGATTTGGTTAAAAGAGGAAATTAAAAGTTGCTCTACCTAGTTATCCACTGATGTTAAACGAACGAATATAAGAACAACAGTCTTATGGGAAGATTTTAAGGCTGCAAGGAGAAGTAAAATTGGACCACTTCTAAATATGAGAGTGGTTTTTGTGGGGGAGCGTTCGATTGATGATGGCGGACCTAAAAGGAAATTATTTTCTGGTAAGTTTTAATTCATCTCTGCCACATTACAGTTAATTGAACTATTAAATCAAAGCTTGAAAGTATTTAAACTTTAGTGAGATAATGATAATGATGATAAACCTGTACTTCTATGCATTGTACACTATTCAATCTTATCAGTCTCAGTTAAATGTGAATGGTGTCTTTGCGACTAAATTTTTCTGTTCAGGGAGGCAAATACAAAAAAACTTATAATTTCTTTGATAAACGTGTGTATTGAACATTATCATTGCTTCAACCTTGATATATTAGAATATATCAATATATTTTTGAAGGTAGGTATTCAAATCTTTCATCTTATCAAAATTTACAATTCATTAACAATGTTTGACATCCAGGATGAAAAATATCTTGCCATTCCTTCAGGTGGTGTGGTTCAGCTGAAAGATTTCTTAAAGTGGTTACAGGATCATATGACATGAAACCACTAGGATTCCCTAAACAGTTTTCCATTTCATTTCTCCAGGGTTGCCGTGAGGGATGTGCATAAAGACTTACAGCATCAACATGTGAAATACCTATCAAACTGCCTGTGCATATCAGGGATGAAGAGGCAATAAAAGAAATGATTGTCTCTGCTATTCAAAACTCATATGGTTTTGATTTAGTTTAGATTGTTTAATAAAAGTGCAACATATGAAAGAATGTTATATGCAGTGCAGTGTTTGAAATTGAATGAAGATATGATCTTCGCACTTTTGCTGGACAATTTAAGCAATTGTCTCATGAACCTGAAAAATTCAGGTGACTCAACGGGATTCGAACCCATGAACTCTGCGTTGCCGGTACAGTGCTTTAATCAGCAAAAGTGACAATTGTCCAGCAAAAGTGTGAAGATCATATCTTCATTCAATTTCATTGTCCAGCAAAAGTGCGAAGATCATATCTTCATTCGATTTCAAAAATTGTCCAGCAAAAGTGCGAAGATCATATCTTCATTCAATTTCAAACACTGCACTGCATATAACATTCTTTCATATGTCATTCCTTTCATGGGAAAACATGAGCCCAACAAATTGACCTGCTCTCCACAGTGTGATTTCATAGCTCAGTTGGTTAGAGCACTGTACCGGCATCGCAGAGGTCATGGGTTCGAATCCCGTTGAGTCACCTGAATTTTTCAGGTTCATGAGATAATTGCTTTAATTGTCGAGCAAAAGTGCGGATTACAAATTTTCAAACTTATATATATATATACATATAAGTTTGAAAATTTGTAATCCAGGCATTTAATACATAAAAGATAAAAGTTTCTCCGGATTTTAAGTGATTTTTATTGAGCTTTCGACTCGTTGCTTCGAGCCTTCATCAGAATGAAGATATTTATTTACACGTGCTTTTAGCTTGGAGACGTTTAGAGCGTCTAATTGGATGAGTGGGTGGATTAATGTGATTGGATGGGGTGAAATGCGTTGCCATGGGTTTTGGTGTATTGTGAATATGATTGGTGTTAATAATATTAGAGTGTAGTGTTTTAGTTTTGGTGTTGTTTGTAGTTTTTATGTCCTTTTTCTTTAGTTGTGAGTATATGATGGGTATGTCGATATGTCTGTTTATTGTGTCGTTGTCTTTACTGTACCAAGCTTCGTTAAATGTCGTCGACATATCTTTTCCATAGTCTGATGTTTGTGTTGTTTGTGACTGATTGTGTTTCGAGGTGTTGCATGACAGCTTCTGCGAGGAAGGTGGATAGTGGTGATCCCATTGGTGTGCCTGAAATTGGTCTGTAGTATGTGTTTTGGAAGGTGAATTCAGAGGAGAGGCAAAGGTTGAGTAAGTCTAGGATGTCATTTTTGTCTAGTTGTGTTGTAGCTTGCCAAGTTTTGTCGTTTGTGAGTAGTTCGTTTGTAATTTGTTTGGCAATGTCTAGTGGTATGGATGTGAAGAGTGACATTGGACTAGACATTGGACTAGACATACCACTAGACATTGCCAAACAAATTACAAACGAACTACTCACAAACGACAAAACTTGGCAAGCTACGACACAACTAGACAAAAATGACATCCTAGACTTACTCAACCTTTGCCTCTCCACTGAATTCACCTTCCAAAACACATACTACAGACAAATTTCAGGCACACCAATGGGATCACCACTATCCACCTTCCTCGCAGAAGCTGTCATGCAACACCTCGAAACACAATCAGTCACAAACAACACAAACATCAGACTATGGAAAAGATATGTCGACGACATCTTTGCCATGGTCAAGAAAGACAAAACTGAACAAATCCTACACACCATAAACAATACCACAAAGAACATTACCTTTACTAAAGACGAAGAACACGACAAACAACTTACCTTCCTCGACATCCTACTAACCAGAACAGATGACGGTACACTAAACACACAAGTATACCGCAAAACCACCCACACAGACCAAATACTCGATTTCAACAGCAATCATCCAACACAACACAAAATAAGCTGCATTCGTACACTTTTTCAACAGGATAAACACTCATTGTAATACGGAAGAAGCCAAAAAAACAGAACGCAACTACTTATACTCCACATTTATTAAAATCAACTACTCTAGAAACTTCATAAACAAAACTATATACAAAATACAAAACAAAACACAAACCGACAAAAGCAACAAAAAACCGGACGAAACAGTAAAAATCGTCACATTACCATACATAAACGGAACATCAGAAATGACTGCCAGACTTCTTCGAACATTTAATATTGACGTCGCCCACAAACCTACACAAAAACTCAAATCATGTTTCACCAAACCTAAAGACAAAACAACAATTCATGATACAACTGACGCGATCTACATGATACCATGTAAAGACTGTTCAAAACAATACATAGGACAAACATCTAAGAAAATTGAAACAAGACTCACAGAACACAAAAACGCCATAAAACGACGAGATCCGAACTCACTACCGGCAGAACATACCCACGGAAACAACCACACATTCGACTGGACAGAAACTAAAGTACTCGGACGCGCACAGACTAAACACGCACGCGAATTTAAAGAAGCTTGGTACAGTGAAGACAACGACACAATAAACAGACATATCGACATACCCATCATATACTCACAACTAACGAAAAAGGACATAAAAACTACAAACAACACCAAAACTAAAACACTACACTCTAATATTATTAACACCAATCATATTCACAATACACCAAAACCCATGGCAACGCATTTCACCCCATCCAATCACATTAATCCACCCACTAATCCAATTAGACGCTCTAAACGTCTCCAAGCTAAAAGCACGTGTAAATAAATATCCTCATTCTGAAGAAGGCTCGAAGCAACGAGTTGAAAGCTGAATAAAAATCATTTAAAAATCCGGAGAAACGTTTATCTTTTATATATTCAATGCCTGGATTACAAATTTTCAAACTTATATATATATATATACATATAAGTTTGAAAATTTGTAATCCAGGCATTTAATACATAAAAGATAAAAGTTTCTCCGGATTTTAAGTGATTTTTATTGAGCTTTCGACTCGTTGCTTCGAGCCTTCATCAGAATGAAGATATTTATTTACACGTGCTTTAGCTTGGAGACGTTTAGAGCGTCTAATTGGATGAGGGTGGATTAATGTGATTGATGGGGTGAAATGCGTTGCCATGGGTTTTGGTGTATTGTGAATATGATTGGTGTTAATAATATTAGAGTGTAGTGTTTTAGTTTTGGTGTTGTTTGTAGTTTTTATGTCCTTTTTCTTTAGTTGTGAGTATATGATGGGTATGTCGATATGTCTGTTTATTGTGTCGTTGTCTTTACTGTACCAAGCTTCTTTAAATGTCGTCGACATATCTTTTCCATAGTCTGATGTTTATGTTGTTTGTGACTGATTGTGTTTCGAGGTGTTGCATGACAGCTTCTGCGAGGAAGGTGGATAGTGGTGATCCCATTGGTGTGCCTGAAATTTGTCTGTATCTTTGCCATAGTCAAGAAAGACAAAACTGAACAAATCCTACACACCATAAACAATACCACAAAGAACATTACCTTTACTAAAGACAAAGAGCAAGACAAACAACTTACCTTCCTCAACATCCTACTAACCAGAACAGATGACGGTACACTAAACACACAAGTATACTGCAAAACCACCCACACAGACCAAATACTCGATTTCAACAGCAATCATCCAACACACAACACAAAATAAGCTACATTCGAACACTTTTCAACAGGATAAACACTCATTGTAAGAAGCCAAAAAAACAGAACGCAACTACTTATACTCCACATTTATTAAAAACAATTACCCTAGAAACTTCATAAACAAAACTATATACAAAATACAAAACAAAACACAAACCAACAAAAGCAACAAAAAACCGGACGAAACAGTAAAAAAAATCGTCACATTACCATACATAAACGGAACATCAGAAATGACTGCCAGACTTCTTCGACCATTTAATATTAACGTCGCCCACAAACCTACACAAAAAAACTCAAATCATGTTTCAGCAAATATAAAGACAAAACAACTATTCATGATACAACTGACGCGATCTACATGATACCATGTAAAGACTGTTCAAAGCAATACATAGGACAAACATCTAAGAAAATTGAAACAAGACTCACAGAACACAAAAACGCCATAAAACGACGAGATCCGAACTCACTACCGGCAGAACATACCCACGGAAACAACCACACATTCGACTGGACAGAAACTAAAGTACTCGGACGCGCACAGACTAAACACGCACGCGAATTTAAAGAAGCTTGGTACAGTGAAGACAACGACACAATAAACAGACATATCGACATACCCATCATATACTCACAACTAACGAAAAAGGACATAAAAACTACAAACAACACCAAAACTAAAACACTACACTCTAATATTATTAACACCAATCATATTCACAATACACCAAAACCCATGGCAACGCATTTCACCCCATCCAATCACATTAATCCACCCACTAATCCAATTAGACGCTCTAAACGTCTCCAAGCTAAAAGCACATGTAAATAATATAGGCCGTATTCTATGGTGGATTATTGTTCAGGTTGAGATGCAGAAATTCATGACTAAGTAAAAACAACATAGATGTACTGATATGTACTCACTTAACATAAATCTGCCTGTTTACATCCCGAAAAGTTGCAATCAAGAGAGCTAGAGCCATCGAAAATTCGACATTTATTTTCTATATACGCCATATTGTTTTGTGTGAAATTCGCTAAATTTGCTGGCTCATATTCAAAAGAACGGTGCTAAATAATGATTAAGGTCAATCTTTCTAAGTTAATTTGAAATGATATGTTTAGCTATTAATATTCCATAGCTGCTTGATGGACAAAAAGACTAAAAATTGAAAAAACAATTCTTGAAATTGAATTGCGAAGGAGTCCTTCATCTTTTTGTGTAAATAATATAACGATAATAAATTGGCACATGAGATTGCGTACTCAGAATCCTTTGGTCGCCATCTAGCTCCTGCTGTACACACTGCTGAGCAGTGCATTCTTAATAGAACATTTCATTGAAATCGTTTATGAAGTTTTCATGTGTATCGTCGGCATCATCGTAATCGCTATCATCGCACTCATCCGGCTCTTTCATTGGGCCGTCATCTTCAGAGGCGTAGTTACTGCAGTCAGAACAACCGCAAATGTCAGTACATTGCAAACCAGACTTCACGCACGAGCATCGAAGATTCTTGCAACCAGCTTTACACTTGCATGTCACGCACTCAATAAGTGTATCTGGAGCAGATGGTCCAGTCATCCAAAGAATCTCTAACTGACCATTTTT